ATCAGTTGTAACATTCCTTACCTAATGAAATGCAGCAACCCAGAGGGAGCCTCTCTCTTTTTGAGTCATCAGCTCCTTCCATTTCAGGCAAGAATATCTTTCAATACCATTTCACAAACTCTTTATTATTGTCAACAATAGAAATGGCCAGGATTCTATAGGTGACAAACTCCAGCCTACATCCTACTTATATGCATTGAGAAATATTGTGGAAGGAGGTTCCTGTACTCCTTGTGCAATGCCCCTTGGTCCATCTGCACAATAGCAGCCAAGGATTTGCAGCTACATTGCCTGACCACTGCTTAGCTGCAGAGATGGACCCGGGAGTGTTTTGGCTGCCTTGATATACTTGGGAAAGAAGGAGGAACAACTTTATGTTGGGGTCAGAGGCTGCTCTTCTTTTCCTGAATATGATTGTCATCAGAAAACCACCTCTCTAAATACTTGTATTCATCCAGAGAGGAAAGGGGGAATGGAAGAACAATCTGCATCCTGCCCCCACTCCCAACAACTTGCACTAAACCAGTATCCTTATTGGATGTGGGACAATATTTTTCACTATGTTGGTTAAATGGTCTCATTATCATTCCCAGTTTTTCAGACAAGCTGTTTTCTCAGTTCCTCATCTTAATCTATATTGTATTCTTTGCTCTGAGAGTCATAACAAGGCTTGTGTGTGGTATGTGTCAGTTGTGACTTTCTGAAAGGATGACAATTTGGCCTTGATGATACAGAAGTCTGCCTTTACAGCAACATGGTTTTCTATTAATCTGTGGCAGGATGACAAGGGCTGGTATTAATATGCGGACAAGAACATGTGAAATCATATTTAGACTGGCTGGGGTATTAACTCACTGAACTGGATAATGAACCAGCGTCCCATAAATCAGCAAGTTATCATGAGCAAGATGTGAGCCTTTTGACATTTACTAGACAAAAATTTACTAGACATTTCCTAGACTAGGGGTTTCCAAACTTATCTTTCAGAACATCTTCATGCATCTTTTTGGTTTAGCATCACTTCATTGCAAAATTTGGATCAAGCTAAGTTTCAAATGATAGACCTGGAGTGAAATTTATCACACAGACAAAGGTCTATGCAAAAGTCTGTGTGGGGTGCTTCTATAACAGAGAGGAAAGAATTTATACCATCTGAGGCTTAGGTCTAATCTGCACTGCAGAAATAATACATTTTGACACCACTTTAAGTGTCATCCTGTGGACTCCAGGGATCCTAGGATTTGTAGTTTGTTGTGGAACCAGAGCTTTCTCACAGAGGATAAATATCTCTCAAAACTACAAATCCCAGAATTCCAAAGCATTGAGCCATGGCAGTTAAAGCAGTGACAAGCTGCATTAATTCTGCAGTGCAGATTAGACCTGGAATTCATGGGACTTTATTCTGTGACAGTTCATCCCTTTCAATCACTGGGTAAAGTTGGTATCTGTTACTTGATCCAGCATCTAACTGTACCTCCTTATTTCCTCCAGTGGCAACATAAAAATTACCTAGTTACGTTCTACTCTCCAGTGAATAAGAAGCATGAGCTTTGAACTGAGTGAAGACATTTCTGAATTTAGATGAAGGGGTTGCTTTTATTTTCAAAATAGAGAATGAAATTTTTTTGTCTTTTCTGAAGTCTAAGGGTGACTCTAATCCAGTGGTCCAATTGTGGAAGGGTTAGGAACCATTTTCACTCCCCCCTTCACATCTGATGTGGCATCATTTGTTTTTGGCCATTTTGGGGAGGGAGGGACTCAGTAGTATGTGGTGGACAAACCACTGCATTTTGTGGTGGATTTAAGCTATTTTTGATGTTTACTGAGGCAAAATTATCCAATTTTTATTTTTATTTTTCATTCTGAGGACTATGGGGACCTTAGGGAGTCTTTGGCGGCTTCAATAAGGTTCTAGGATCAATATCCTAATTTAAGCTTAATATCTTCATTAAATCTCAACACAGCAATATGTCGATAACTTACCCCTCCTGCATTTTCCTTTTCTGGCCTGATATTGTAATGTCTTGCTCAAGGAAGGGATTTGTACAATCACAAACACAAAGGGATTGCTGCAATATGGATTTTTGAATTTTTCTTATGATCATGTTTTTTTTTGGGGGGGGGATGACAGTGCCTTGTTGGACTCCCCATTTTGTATCATATAGTAAATCTTATCTTGTGTTGTGACATTATTATTATTATCATTAAAAACACATTCCCACATGACCATTCCACATCATTGGCTGGAAGGGTCACAGAACCCCCCAAGATGATATTAGGAGCAGTGTAAAGTGTGGTGTTAAACCTTTTAATATGTTATATCCATGAAGAGGATTCCATGCACAGACACCATGCCAGAGATCAGCTTGCTAGATTCAGTGGTGCAATAATTTAGTTTTATTAGTCTTTTAAATCCAACCCAAAAGTAATGCTTCCTGGAATGAACAAAGTAGAGATTCATATTTGGTACAAAAAAAAAATTAACTCCAGAAATTAAGTAACAAAGTTGTGCAAAATTACAGTAAAATATCCAGAATAAAGTAAATATAGCAGATTGTAATTAAAACTTGAATTTAATCTTACACAATGGGCTGTTATGTGTACTTTGCTTTTATTTTTGCTGTGATTCCATGCAGCCTAATTCCAAATAAACTCAACCCTTCAGTCCTAACTCCTGTTTCATGACTGTTAGTGAAATCATTCTTCCTAACTTCAGTTCAAATATGGATCCTCTTAGGAACAGAAGATGATGTCTTTGACCAAATCCCTCTGTATTATTTCCACTAACTGGCTGTGTTTCTCTAAGTTCCAGAAAATGCTCTTGTCCCATCTGTACTTGGGATGCCACAAACTGAGCATGGCTTCCAAGTGAGCCATGCCCTTTCCCTTTAAAATGTAATCTGTGATTGGCTTTCCTTGAGCTTGATATCACTGCCTTATGTTTTGGAGGGACAGCTGACATTATAGCTGCAACTGAAGCATCTCAGTAAAGTTGAGCCAGCATGGTTTGAATGATGGACCAATGATGGGAGATCAGAGTCAGGGTTCAAATCCCTGTTCAGCCATGGAAACTCACTGGGTGACCTTGGGCAAGTCACACTTTCTCAGCCTCAGAGGAAAGCAATGGCAACCCTCCTCTGAGGAAGTCTGGTCAAGATAGTTCACCAAAAGTCAGAAATGACTTGAAGCCACACAACAGCTACAGTTGTATTGGAGGTGGGTGGGTGGGTGGGTGGGACAAAGATCCATTGGGGTTTTTAAAGAAGAAGATTATACAGCTTTCCCATTTATAGTACTAAGTGAATCCTTCATGCTCTTATCATGCATAGCTGTTCAGTTCAACATATCTGAATCTAGCTTTCATATTACGTTCCTGGATTTAATGGTTACACTGACAGCAGTTGTAAATTCTGTTAATCAGCCAGCTGCACATTTAAGTAGATGCATATTTTTGGCCTAGAGCATGTAATTTTTAATGAACATACTGTTATTTCTGGTACAGAGGCCTAGTAACCAACTTCTGTAATGAATAAGGAATTATGGTACAGTTAAAGCACATATACGCATATTTTATTCTAGATTGGTTTGCAGGACTTTTATATTACACTATGGAAACAGAAAAAGAATTGCTAGCAAAAATACACATGCAGCATTTTTTATGCCCATGTAGGTGGATGTGGTTTACTGTACAGAAGACAGTTTCCTATTGAGAGTCCTCTATTGCAATGATTCTCAACTTCTGATTCTCCAGTTTGCTTCTTCAAGAATTCCTGAGCACTGGCCATACTGGCTTAGACTTCTAGGAACTGAAGGAGGGCCACAATTTGAGAACCACTCCTTAGTTGGGAGGCACTTTTTAATTCCAAGTCTTGTTCAAAGAAGTTGCCCATCTACAGCTTATTTATATTTGAATGGCAGTCTATACAGGCATACTGCTCAAATGGTCATAGGCTTACCAGATTTCAGGGTCTGGCCCTGAGTCTCCAATATCATGGGTCATCTATAAGCAGAAGATAAGGGTTGAAATTCTCCAGTTTTGGTGGGCTGAGCTCTGGGCAAGAGGAAAGGGCTGAGTGCAAATCTCCAGCTCAGCTAGTCAAGCACCAGCGTGCTACAATTTCCAAGGCTTAATTCATTTGTTGCTGCAACTTGGAAAGATGATCCAGGAGGTCTATGAATTCACTTAGGGCTGATGCAGACCGGCTGTTTGGGGCAGCAGAGAGCCGCCCTGGGAAGCGGCAGATCGGGACTGCAGCAACCCCACGCTGCGGCCCCAATCCTCCCTTTTGCCACACTGAAAAGAGCGGCAAAATGCTTCTCCTTTTAGGGGTGGCAAAAGGCCACCCTAGGAGCTGGCGCCATGGCTCTTCAGTGTACTTTTGCCGCAGCGTGTTTAAACACTGTGCTGGGAGGGCATCCTGATGCCACACACTGTGCGTACAGCTCTGTGGCGTCAGGACGCCGTCGGGGTGGGGTTGGGGCGGCTGGCATGCAGCTGCCCTGCCCCAGTTCTATCCCCAGGCTGGCCCTTTGGGCCGGTCTGCAATGGCCCTTAGTTAGTTTCCACCTTTCAGTCATGTGGTTCCAGGGCTCACCTTCCACTTTGCTCTGCATCCACTTTCTAGCCAGGTGCAAGATGGCTGCACTAAATGTTCCTCGTCTTTTCTCCTGAAGTAAATGAGAAAGAACAATCCCCTCATTTCACCTTGATCTGGGAACAGCCCTTTTAGTTAAAATTTCTGTTCTAATTTCCAAATAGGAAAAAAAAGGATCTATTTTTCGCATCTTGAATGACAAGCTCTGTGAAACATGTACTTAATAACAATAATGACATCACCAAGACCATTCCCAGTTCTCAGGTATTGGCCCAGAAACCTCATGGCTTGGGATGATCCTGATATGGCAACCCCACCTGAACAGTCTTTCTCACTCTGAGAATATATACAGTATTTGCATTTAGAATCTTTCTAGATTTGCCCATAATATATTCTCAAATGAAACTGAGCATGGCTTAGTGATTTGAGCATTAAACTATGACTCTGGAGATCAGGGATCAAATCCCTGCTTGGCCATAGAAACCCACAGGGTGACATTGAGCAAGACACACACACTCAGCCTCAGAAAATCCCATGATGGGTTCACCTTAGGGTTTCCATAAGTTAGAAGGACTTGAAGGCACACAACAACAACAACAACAACAACAAACTTATCAATCAGCCTTTGCACATTTTATGCAAAAGTCTCTTATGTTTTGTCTTTTTGGGGATGTGATGTCTTCTTTATCTAGGACAGCCCCTAACTGGAGAGCTATACTTCCTTTGCATTGTAAATATGTGACCCAATCCAGCAGGAGAAACATGCACATAAGTGTGCTATGCATAATTTTTTCCCAAACAACAACAACAACAACAACAACAAGCCCAAAAAACTCTCAGCTCTATCTTTCAGTCTCTGTTCAGTTTATGGGAAAAACGAGGGAGAGTATAGGTTCCTTCCATCTTCCTCTTTCAAAAGGGGAAAGGATTACACATGCGTGTCTTCCTATTGAGGTGAGTATATCAAAGGAGGTGACACGATTGAATTCAAGTGGCAGAAGACTTCAGGTGAATTCAGTCAAACTCTACTTTAGGACACTGGTGCCAGGGGAGATCCTATACACCATTTTACCCCCAGAATCCTGCCCAGCAGATATTTTCTAAGTGGCACAAGGCATGCTCAAGTATGAGCCAACCCGGGAGACATGCTGTAAGTTCTTTGTGAGTTGCTGCAAGAATACACTTGCTTGTATTTGCTTTGCTTCAAGTGCTGCCTGTTACACAGTACAGTCTAATTCTTGTTTTCTGGGGTGAGTTTCAGTGGTTTCATTTGGCACCAGAAGCTGACTTGGTTCCCATGGCATAGGATACTTTCAATCAGCTAGGACTGATGTACCAGATGCTGCCCCACCTGGACAGAAATAAGCTGGCCAGACTAATCCATGCTGAACTATTCCAGGTTGAAGTATTAAAGCATGGCGTGCCATGTGAAGCTTTTGTTTTGGCAACTTCAACTAATATAGCCAGAGTCCCATCTTGTAGGTGCAGAAAAACCAGGTTCTCAAACTATTCTACTGGTTCTTAATCTATCATAGAATCCTAGAATCTTAGTGTTGTAAGGGGCTACAAGGATCATCTATTCCAGGGGTTGGCAACCTACGGCCCGCAGGCTGGTTCCAGCCCAGGGCCTGACGCTTACTGGCCCAGGCGGACCCCTGCCGCCGCCTGTGACCGCCACCACGCATTTTGTTCGCTGCGCGGCCGCGCGTGCTGCGACCGCCATTTTGCTTTCCAAAATGGCAGCCGTGACATGTTTGTGCATGCGCAGGAGTACTGTGGATGCGCAAACGTGTCACGGCGGTGGCGGCATGCGTAGGGGGGTCGCGGCGGTAATTACCCCAGATACACTTTCCAAGGTTCCTCCACTTGATCCTAGGGTGAATTCACCCGAGGATCAAGAAGAGGCACCTTGGAAATGGTCCTCCAAGTTGCCTCCGCTCGATCCTGGGGTGAATTCACCCAAGGATTGGGGTGGGGGTGGGCTTGGAGGACCGTTTCCAAGGCCTCCCCGCTTGATCTTGAGGCGAATTTGCCCAAGGATCGGGGTGGGGTGGGGCCTTGGAGGGACTTTTCCAAGGTTCCTCTGCTTGATCCTCGGGTGAATTTACCCCAGGATCAAGCAGAGGCACCTTGCAAACGGTCCTCCAAGGTGCCTCCGCGCGATCCTGAGGTGAATTCGCCCAAGGATCAGGGTGGGGGAGGGCTTGGAATGGCCCCATGGCGGCTGTGAGGGGCGCGCGCACGCGTGCACCCCCAACTCCCGCACAACCGGCCCCCGCAACATTTCCCCCCCTTCCCCCGGCCCCCCCGGCAACAAAGGTTGCCGACCCCTGATCTATTCCAATCCCTTGCCATGCAGGGATACACACCTAAAACACTCCTGAAAGATGCCGATCCAACCTCTGTTTAAAGGCCTCCAAAGTACGAGAGTCCACCACATACAGTCCTCTAGGCAGCCCACTGCATTGTTGAACTGCTCTTACAGTAAATTCCATTTCTATGTATTTCTAGGTATACTGCATTTTAGCTGCAACAGGGGAATCCTAAATAAGAGGGAGCCAGGGGACGGGGATGTAACTCTTTGAGATTTCTACCTCCAAAAAGGTAAAACGTTTCTATTGGGAGTGCATTTGGCGAGTTTACCTATGCAGCACCTAAAGGTTTTTCCAGATGCAACAGTACAGAGACTTCTTGAGAAATTTAATGTTTGCTGCCAAAGAAAGGGGGG